CTAAATCATATACCATAATTAGTTATCCAATTTTATAATATGGTTTAAACATAATTTGGAAGACACGGTTCTTACTGTTGCCTATTTGATTAAATGAGTCTTATCTCGAGTATTATGTAACGTTAGTCCTGTTCAATTTATGTTTTCACGTTTTTCCTTTGTTCCTATATTACTGAACCTGAGTCTCGTGTATTTGGTTGAATTGTGTTTGTTCATGTTCATAAATAATATCACAACAAGTTAGATCTCTGTGTTGTTAGATGTATCTTTTTGGGTTATGCACGTACCGAAAGAGGGTACAAAGTTTATGATCATCCTAGTCAAAAAAATGTTTTCTCTCCAAAGATGTCACGTTTGATGAAAATGCAACATACTTCACCCGTCCCCAGTCTTAGGGGGAGAACATAAATGACTTAGAGTCTGAGTTCCTTACCTTGTATCATAGCCTCCCTATAACACATATTCTTGTTCCCACTCATTAAAATAAGTGTATACGTGTTCATGTTTCTCTAGTGGTTGAGCCTAAACCCTAGTCTATAATTGCTTCTGGTCCTCTAATATCTTTTGTTTTGCAGGAATCAATATCTTAAACACCAACTCTAGCATCATAGAAGAAGCATATTCGACCCACTCCAAAAATAAATTCAATTGTATGAAATAGATGTGAAAGATGAAACCATACTCTTAAGGATATGATGAAGAGTATGATATGTCATTCTAAATAGACACTAAAGACTTCAACTTACATTCTAAGTAGAGTACCAACAAAGGCAGCTACCAAAATACCTTACGAGCTTTGGACTGGGCGAAAGGCCAACTTTAAACATTTTCATATGTGGGGATGTCTAGCTAAGGCAATGCCTTATAGATCAAATGAAAAGAAATTGGACTCTTGAACAGTGGGTAACTACTTTATTGGTTATTATGAAAGATCCAGGGGCTATAAATTTTATGATCCCAAATTAAACTCAATCTTTGAGACCAAAACAACCACATTATTTAAGGATATCGAGTTTGGGGGAAGAATAGGGTTAGAAACTTTGTTTTAGAGGAAGAATCAGTAACAATTCCAGAATCGATTCATACAGTTGATTTTGATTAAGTAAATATAGAACCTCCATAAGACATTGTTGATTTTTCTCCTACTCCATGATTTGGTAATTCATGAAGAAAAAATTGAAAATTCTCAAGAACAAGTGTTGCAAGAACCAATACGTTTGCAGACTAAATAAAGGAGAGATGTTACTCCAGATGATTACATAGTCTTTTTCCAAGAACATGAGGAAAATAATGGTATGATGAAAGATGATCCAATCAACTTTCGTCAAACCATGCATGAATCCAACTCGGAAAAGGGGATTGAAGCAATGAAGAAGGAGTATAAGTCCATATAAGACAATAAAGTCTAGGAACTTGTCCTGTTACCAAAAGGTGTGAAACCCATTGGTTGCAAATGGATTTTAAGACAAGAGGGATTCTAACGGTAATATGGAAAGGTATAAAATGCGTCTTGTGGCTAAGGGTTAATACCCAAAAGCAAGGAATTTACTTTAAAGAGACTTTATCTTCGGTTTTATCGAAAGACTCTTTTAGGACAATCATGACTTTGATGCATGCTAAGATAGTAAAAGATCCACTTCAGGCTATATCTACATGTTAGGTGATGGTGCAATTTCTTGGCGCAGTGCCAAGCAAACTCTTACGACTTCATCCGCCATGACAACCGGGTTTATAGCATGTTATGAGGCATCCAACCATGTGATTTGGCCAAGGAATTTTGTCATTGGACTGCAAATTATGGAAGAAATTGAAAGGCCACTTAAATTATACTGTGGCAATAAAGCACTCGTCATGTATTCCAACAATAATAGAAGCTCGACCAAATAAAAGCATATTGACATCAAGTTCCTAGTTGTTAAGGCAATGGTACAAAGTGGACATATTTCCATAGAACACTTGGGGACAAAATCCATGATAGCAAATTCTCTTACAAAAGATCTTCCACCCAAGATCTTTTATAAGCACACTACTCGCATGTATGTTTTACCATTAGAGGAGTCTTTGGTTTAGTGAGAGTTAGTCAATTATGAATTTTATGTTATATGTTTTGGTATTATGTATTCATATTATGATTTTGGATATTGTCCAAACTAATAAAGTTTGATATTCAATAGTTTACATTTTGTATAATAAAATTATTGAATGATCTCACTAAAATAAAGTAGGACCAGCTGAAATTGACATATACAGACCAACTTCGTGTAATTTTCATATTGCACATTTCATGATGGATCTATGTCATTTAGTTATGATTGATATAACGAAAATCACATTGATTCTGTATATTGACATGACTAATGGATGAGATAATTTGGACATGCTTAAGGAATATAATGGTGAATTTTGAGCTCATAAAGTCTAACACATGCGAATGATTACATATGTGATCAGTTAAAGATTGTTAGAATATTTGGGTCACAATTATAATGTTACATGTGTTAGGGACATTATGTAATTAGCCAAAGTTTTATTGGTCTAATTAATAATAAGTTTGTGGCTAAAAGCATAAATATCGTGAAAGGTAAGATTAATATGTAGATACCATAAGCCAATTTCTAATTTGATGAGGGGCCAAGTTAGAATATTGAAAACTAAGAAATAACCCTAAGGTTATTTATAGGGTTACGGTCCCCATTTATAGACAATGCAAACTGACTTATCAGAAATTATCTCTTCATCCCCATTAGAGGATAATCAAGGAGCCACAAGGAACTCTATATATCGAAAGATCAAATACTCATAAACCTTCAGTTATTTCTAATGGCAAACTTAGGTACGCTTTCTCTTTTATTCTCATAATTGTATTCAGGCATTGGTATAAGGGATATGAGTCAATTATATGTTTGACTCATCGAGAATAGTTTAGAGTTTAATTATTGATTTCTATATTGATAGAAATTATAAGTTATGAACATATCTAACATAATATACTAGTAAGGTTTTACTTCAGGTTAATCTATGTAATGCATGCAATGAATAATCAAACATTAGTAAATCAATATAGTTTCATTGGAATTTATTGAATTGCATAAACTTCCTAACATTTAGAAAAACTCTTCTAGAATCGAAGGAACCATATCCTTAACTTTTAGAGTCGGAAGACTTTTATCAAAAACCCTGCTCTAATACCGATTATTGGGTGATAATATGAACACAAATAGGTCTAGAAGGGGAGGTTAAGTAGAACCTTCCCTTTAAGACAATTTCAAAAATATTTTATGTCCCATAAACAAAATATACACAAAGATATATAATAGTTTGGCGTTCATCCTCACTTTGTCCACTCTATTCTTCAATGGTGTTAAAAACCATTGAAAAATAATCACAATCTTCTACTATTTTGATAAGTTTGATGCAAGCATTTTGGTTACAACGAACTATCAAATGATAATTCTTTTTGCTGATGCAGATATTCAAACTGCTAACAAAAATAAGATCTCAAAAAGATCTTGATCTAATAACCTTTCTATCCACAATAAGCTGCTATAAGTATTTGTATGTGGCAATCCACCCGATTCCACCGATTTTTTGTCTGAGCATTTGCCATTAACTAAGCGTTGATTAGACAACTTCCAACTTTGTCTGTGAGCAATCTTTCTCTAACTCCACCAAAGATGGATAACTTCCACTTTCGTCTTATGGACAGTGGATACTTGATCTCGCCAAAGTCTTCCTTTGAGTATATTGAAACTCTCTTCTTAATAGATAATAATAAAGACCAAAATACATTCAAGAAATGATATCAATACCTGATACAAACAACAAAATTCACACAAAAACATTAGATACTCTAATGTATCACTAGTCTCCATCATCACTCAATCTTTGGAGATGAAGGTCCACAACAATAAAAAAATGACTAAATATGAAGATGATGAACAATACCAGACTATCTCACAAATACTCTAAAATATAAGGTGTTAGTCATGAGATTAGATGAATACTCATGAAAATACACACAACGTTCTCTCAGATTTTTGGATAAATGGATCTTGATTCTTGATTGATATCATAAACTTAATTAATCATAAATAACACAACAAGATTAATCAACTCACTATCTTAAATTCACTCAAAACAACAAGAAATTACACAAAAAAAAAATATAAATAATCTGTCATATTTTTTTTCCAAATAAAATTATAAATATTTTAAAAACTAAAATGATTAATTTGTTACAAAATTAAAATATCACTTTATTACTATAAACATCTAGTTTAAATGATAAATAAAAGTATATAGTCTACTTATTTAGCACAAATTTATGAATTTTTCCATTGTTAATTATATTAAAAGGACTAAAATAAAGTGTTTTGAAAAATTAAAAAATAAATATGATTTTTTTTTAAAATTAAGACACTAAAATGAATTTTTACGATTAAAAAAAATAAATATTTTGCCAAGATAATATGGTATCGCCGGCGCAGTAAGCAGCAGCAGCATCAAATCACGACTTAAACATCAGTAAATGTGCGCTTGTACAACAAACGACACCATACTCCTACCAGCTTCACATTGTTTTTGACACCAGAAACATTTATAGAAGAAACCGATTTCACCTGCCAACAACTTCGTTCAACTTCACGCATTGGAAAACACGCTTACGCATGTTTCTTCTTCCTCTTTTCTATGTCGGTTAATGGTTTGTTGACATTTTATTAGGTTGCTCAACTTTTACTACTAGGTTTATGACCTTTTTTTCCTTCCTTTATTATATGTTGAATTGTTCTAACTACAAAACCAATTGGTAATCGTAACCTTCTTGATTTCCATTTCTTCCTTAGTTTGAATTGGTTGTTTTCTGTTAGAATTTGATTTGTTTTAGAGGATTGCGGTTTTTGAGGTGTGGAATTGTTCTTATAGAAGGTTTTTTTTTTTGAACTATTTGAGTATTATTCAAATTCAAGATCTTTAGTTGAATGGTGTCATTGGGATCAAAGATGAATGGAACTAGTGAAAATGGATACTCAAATGGTTCTGTTATTCATAGTGTAAACAGTAATTTTGAAGAGAAGCTTGATGAGCTTCGTAACCTAATGGGGAAACTGGATAGTGATCCATTGCGAATAGTTGGCATCGGAGCTGGTGCTTGGGGCAGTGTCTTTACAGCTATGTTACAGGATGCTTATGGTAGTTTTAGAGATAAAGCTTTGATCAGGATATGGAGAAGACCAGGGAGAGCCGTTGATAGGGCCACAGCTACGCATCTGTTTGAGGTGATCAATTCGAGGGAGGATGTGTTGAGGAGGCTGATTAGGCGCTGTGCTTATTTAAAATATGTTGAGGGAAGATTGGGTGATAGGGTCCTTCATGCAGATGAGATTTTGAAAGATGGGTTTTGTTTGAATATGGTTGATACGCCTCTTTGCCCTTTAAAGGTTGTCACCAACTTGCAGGAGGCTGTATGGGATGCTGACATTGTGATTAATGGCTTGCCATCGACGGAAACACGTGAGGTGTTTGAAGAAATTAGTAAGTACTGGAAAGAGAGAATCACCGTTCCTGTCATTATTTCATTGGCAAAGGGTGTTGAGGCTGAATTGGATCCTGAGCCGCGGATCATAACCCCTACTCTAATGATCAGTCGAGCAAGTAATATACATTTATGCTAATTTTGCAGAATCTTTTTGCTAATTAAATATGATTTCGTTTCTGATTCTCATTGTTTTTTTATAATATGCTTTCCAGCTGGAGTCTCCATTGAAAATATCCTCTACCTTGGAGGTCCAAACATTGCCTCTGAGATTTACAACAAAGAATACGCAAATGCTAGGATATGTGGAGCAGAAAAATGGAGGAAACCATTGGCAAAGTTTTTGAGACAACCCCATTTTATAGTGTGGGATAATGGTGATCTTGTTACGCATGAAGTTATGGGTGGATTAAAGAATGTGTATGCTATTGGAGCAGGTAAATATAGTTTACGTTGTTACATTGTAGATAACAGCATAGAAACCCATAAGAACACTGTTTTAGGAAAGAAAGAAAAATAATGTATTTTGCATTTTTCTTGATAAACAATTGACTCTTAAGACATCCTTCTTATTAGATATCTTTGTGGAATTATCACTTAAGTAGAGAATTTCTACTTGCCTAGCTCCATTCTATTGTAATCTCATGTTTTTCCCTTAAAGATTGACGCTTATTTTCTTTTTTGAAATATAATTTTGGGCTGCTAGAGATTAGGGACGAGTTATCTACAACCTGCAGTTGTACGCACTTACTGGTTGATTGAATCCCTACTTTTCTGTCAATTTTCTTTTTATCCGTTAAAAAATGTGTTGAAGAACTAGACGACATAGGAGTACAACTTGAAATGATAGCATTAGAGAGAGATAGTTGGGGTAACACCTATTATAGAAAAGACAATTGAATCTCTATGTAGGTAGTATGGGTATGTGTGGAGTAGACTTATAGATAATGTATTAAGAACAGTTAATCAAATGGACTGTAGTCAATTGCTAGAGATAGAGGAACATTAAGAAAAGCTGTATAAGAAAGACTTAAAAGGTCAATTATTTGGATAAAAATATGATTTATGACAGAGCATTATGGTGTCGTTTGATCCAAGTAGTCAACTCCACCTACCGGGATAAGACTTATTGTTGTTTTTGGTTTTTGTTTTTAGTAGTTTGTTGATTTCCACAGAAGAAGCTTGTTCATTTTATTTTCTTCTGGCAAACATAACTGAGATCTCTTAGAGATCAAGAATGATTTATTAGCCCACAGTAAGAAATTCCCTGTCACTTGCACTACCTTCTTATTTGCAGACGTTTTTTAAAAGAAAATATTGAACCTAGCTTCAGTATAAAATCGGGTTTTCATCTGTTAAAATGTAATCTCAATACTAATTAATTGAAAGGATCTCTACAACCATGGTTCAAATGGTTCCAATTTCGTCATTTAAAAACTGTATTAAAAAAAATTAGGATTACTTCAGGCAAGTTTTTCTTAGCAACACTCAGTTACATTGGTTCTACTTTCATAGCTTCAATGATTGATGGTACTGAGTTGACTTTGTCTGATCTTGATACCGAACTTTTTTTAATGCTTTTACTTTTCAATAATAACTTTGCATTGTAATGAGATATAACAGCTGAATTTGACATACTTTTATGTTATTTTAGGAGTGTGCTTTAATGTTCTTACTTTGAATTGTTTTTCTATTATAGATTTTTAGTATAGTAAAATGTACTCTTAATATTTTCAAATCTTGCAACTTTTTTATTGATGTTGATCAATTTAACAGGGATGGTAGCTGCTTTGACAAATGAAAGTGCCACCAGTAAATCAGTGTACTTTGCTCACTGCACTTCTGAGATGATTTTTATAACTCATCTATTGGCAGAAGAACCTGAGAAACTTGCAGGCCCTCTCTTGGCTGATACTTATGTAACCTTGTTGAAAGGTCGTAATGCATGGTACGGACAAAAGTTGGCCAAAGGAGAATTGAGTCTTGAAATGGGTGATAGCATCAAAGGCAAGGGAATGATTCAGGTAAGATTTTGGTCATTTCAGATGGTAGATTTCATTCAAGTTTCTACTTTGCTGCTTATTAGTAATGTATATTTTGCCTTGGTTGTTGTAGGGAGTCTCTGCTGTTAAAGCATTCTATGAGCTACTGAGTCAGTCCAGCTTAAATGTCCTAGATCCTGATGAAAACAAGCATGTCGCCCCTGTGGAGCTTTGCCCTATCTTGAAGATGTTACATAAAATACTGATAATAAGGTAATAAGTTTCGCTTCTCTACTGTTCTGTCGTGTGCTCCTCTCTTTGAATGAAAAAGCAGATGGACCCTGAGCTTTAGTAGCTCAAGTGATTAATTTACACCTTCCAGGAATCCTTTCTCAAACTTCGTTTCGACCTTAAGTCCACTGCACTGCTGTTCATATAGTATGCTTTAACTACGGACAAAACCGTGAGAACTTATGGAAGACCCAAAGCGGACAATACCTCTGAAAAACCGGTGCTGCAGACTTGAGGTCGGAACAAACTTAATGCATATGGCCCTCAATGGAACCTTCTATAATCCTACCTAACTATTGCGGTCGTGTCCTATTTGGAAATATTTTTATGCCAATTGTTTATTGTTGCAGCATCATGTAACAATATTACACTGCTAAAATTGTAATCATGTTACATATGAAAAGTTATCATTAATAGAGGTCCTGTATAGAATTCTCCCCTGCACAAAAAAAAAAAAACTGAATCCAAACTAACTTTTTCTGCGGTTTTGCGTACCTCTAATCTCCAGGGAATCTCCAGTACAGGCAATTCTTCAAGCATTGCGAGATGAGACCATGAATGATCCTCGGGACCGTATTAAGATTGCACAGAGCCATGTGTTTTACCGGCCATCTCTTCTTGGTCAGCAGTCTTAGAATCCTAATCTCATGGGTTTGGCAGATGATTTCGCAATTGCTGAATGTAAATCCGTGTATCTTTGTGCTGCTTCATATCCACCTCCCCGAAATCTACATTCCTTAAAATGAGTATTTGTTGCATGAGCACAGTCTACTGAGACGACCAATCAAAAGTTCAAGATATATTAGAACAATATTTAAAAGGCGTGATAATTGCATGAGCTATTTAATGCAAGAATCACTCCAACAAAGGTGTCTTAATATTTATTTGTTGATTTCTGTTATTCAGTTCGGGCAAGCTTAAGAGAAGGAATTTACTTTATCCGATCAAGTCTGTATTTGCCTGACTAGTTATCCATGTGACTGACCTTAGGAATATTCAGCTTGTGAGCTAGTTTTCTGTTATCGAATTGGGTGAGTTAGTAGTTGAGTAATTGTTTTCCTATTATGGCAGCTGTCTATATAGCAGCTTATTTGTTTTTCTATTATAGCAGCTGTCTATATAAAGTGCATTTTGTAATTGCAACTTTCATTTCTCAGTTGATCATGAAATGAAGATCAAAGCATCTCATATTTTCTATGTTTTTACTTCATGGATCTGTTGGCTACCATGGCTACCGAAGAAATTATTGATTCTTTTGCGGATATTGTCTTTGAGAAATCGTTCATGTTTGAGAGAAGTCACTTCAAACGTTGCCAATAAAAGATGGAGTTCTTAACGTTGAAAAAAAGTTGCTAACGTTCTGATCGATGACATTCTGTTGCTCCTTCTGGAACAATCGAACAAACTAACGGTAGTAAATATGGAGATTTAGAAGGAACACTTAATAGTGTTGAAGTTGAATATGCTGCACAGATTAAAACGGATGATTTACAGCATAGTAAAGAAATCACCTTATAGAAAGAGAATGAAAATCTCTACAAAATCATATTTTGAATAGACTCGCAGATGATATGTATGATAATTACAGTTGATGTGATACTACAAAACAAGATTGAGAGACTCAGAAAAAGAAATATGATGTAGAAGCTGGAGCAAAGAAGTATGTTGTTAGCCGCTATTTCTAGTATCAAATGCAAAGATGTAAGGTCGATGAGGCTCAATGTTACGAACTTCAAAAGATTGCTTAAAAAATCATCACAAAAGGTATGTGTTTAAATGAACAATTTAAAATTGGTTTTATTATTGACAAACTACCCCACAGTTTGAATGTTTTAAAAAAAAGGGAATCTTAGAGACAATATCAAAAATAAAAAGTCTTGGTTGTTTCAAACAAAAAAAAATTCGGTGTAGTTCTGAAGCCATTTGACAAATGATTAAAGAATCAGAACTGCAACATTGTGAACCGAATAAAGAATGTGAATCCTTCTATGATCCCAATAGCTCCAACTAGGCAACAACCACCACCTAAAAGAAATGACGTTGGTTTCCTTTTGTTTTAATTATGGAAAATCAAGTCATATGACTAAGAAATATAGAAGTAAGTTTGAACTTGGTGTTGTCCCTAATGCACAAGTCAACCTGACTAATGGACAATTTATTGCTATGGCCATTGAAATCAACATGGTTGATGGATATGTTGGTTGGTGGATAGACAACTGCGTCTCTCGTTGTGTTTGTTATGATCGTGTTATGTTTAAACGTACACGAATACTAAAGATAAGAAAGTGTTGTTGGGAGATGGCCAGACCACGAATGTTGCTGGAATTGTAGACATAGAGCTAAATTTCGCCTTAAAAAAGACTTTAATTTTAAGGAACGTTATGCATGTTCCTAAGATTAGAAAGAATATTGTTTCTGGTTTCCTTTTAAATAAGATATGGTTTAGTCAGTCTATTGGGATAGATTTGTACGCCATTACGAAGAATGAAGTTTATATGTTTAAATTTTTTGTAAAGATTTTGAAAATGATATAATAAGAATTTGTAGTGATAGATAAACTGTATGATTCTAGTTTATTAATAAATTTTATACATGGAATTGTACATGAAACGACTGCACCATACTATCTTGCAATGAATGGTAAAACAGAAAGAAATAATAGAACTCTTACTGAACTTGTTGTTGCAATTATGATGAATTCTGGTGCTGCACCTCACTGGTGGGGGGGGGGGGGGGGGGATTTTATTGACTGTTTGCTATGTCCTGAATAGAGTTCCCAAGTCAAAATGTGAAATCTCTCCTTATGAGATATTAAAGAAAAGACAACCAAACTTGTCTTATTTGAGAACTTGGGATTGTCTGACTTACGTCAGAATTCCGGATCTGAAACGAGTTAAACTCGCTAGTAGAGCATATGAATGTGTTTTCATTCGGTATGCAGCAAACAGTAAAGCATATAGGTTTTATGACCTAAAGGCAAAAGTGATCATAGAATCAAATGATGTTGAATTCTATGAAGACAAATTTCCTTTCAAATGAGAAATAGTGGGGGCACACAATCGAGTCACATTCCTGTGATAAGAAGCACAAAAAGCGATGACAATGTAGAAACAGAACTTCGATGAAGTAAACGAGTAAGAGTTGCTAAAGACTATAGGCCTGATTATGCGGCTTATAATGTAGAAGAAGATCCAATGAATCTTCAAGAAGCCTTGTCATCTCTGGATGTTTATTTATGGCAAGAAGCTATCAATGATGAGATAGAATCTCTAGAATCTAACAAGACCTATCACTTAGTAGACTTGCCTTCTGGTTGCAAACCAATCGGTTGTAAATGGATTTTGAAAAAGAAACTAAAACCTGATGGAACTATTGATAAATACAAGGTTCGCCTTATTGTCAAGGGTTTTAGACAAAGAGAAAATATAGATTTCTTCGACACCTTTTCTCCTGTCACTAGAATTACATCCATTAGGGTACTTATTTCAACAGCTGTTATTTATAACTTAATAGTACACCAAATGGATGTTAAAACAACTTTTTTAAACAGTGACTTAGAAGAAGAATCTATATGAAACAACCGAAAAGGTTTGTGATCTATGGATAAGAAAACAAGGTCTGTAAGTTAGATAAGTCTTTGTATGGGCTAAAACAAGCTCCAAAGTAATGACATGTAAAGTTTGATAACTTAATGATATCGAATGTGTACAAAGTGAATGAAAGTGACAAATACATTTATTACAAATTTGAGAATTGTATTTGCACTATCATATGTCTATATGTAGACGATCTACTCATATTTGAATCAAACATTTAGGCCATTAATGATATGAAATCATTGTTGTGCAACAACTTTGATATGAAAGACCTCGGAGAAGTGAGTATGATTCTTGGTATCAAGATCATAAAATCCGAGCAAGGAATTTCTTTGGATCAATCACAATATGTGAAAAAGATCTTAAAGAAATATAATTACTTTGACAGTAAACCTGTGAGAACACCAAATGATCCAAGCGTGAAGCTGTTTAAGAACACTGGTGAAAGTGTTAGACAAACAGAACATGCGAGCATCATTGAAAGTCTTAGGTATTCCATTGATTGTATCAAACCTGACATTGCATATGTTGTGGGGTTGTTGTACGAGTTTACTAGTAGACCGAGTAATGAATATTGACAAGCTATTGAGCGAGTCATACGGTACCTTAAAAGGACCATGAATCTCGATTTACATTATCAGAGATTTCCTATTGTACCTGAAGGATACAATGATGCAGATTGGAATACCTTATCAGATGATTCCAAAGCAACTAGTGGCTATGTATTCAACATAGCTAGAGGAGTTGTATCTTGGAAATCAAAGAAACATACTATCCTGAGAATATAGCATTAGCGACTGCTAGTGAAGAAGCAAGTTGGTTAAGATGTTTTCTAACTGAGATTCTCTTATGGGAAAAACATATGTAAGTTGTGTTGATCCATTGCGATAGCACCGCGGCTATTGAAAAAATTGAGAACCGTTATTATAATGGTAAAAGACGTCAAATAAGAAGAAAGCACGACATTGTTAGAGATTGTATCTCTAAAGGAGCTGTAAGAGTGGATCATGTACGCACTGATGAAAATTTAGCAGATCCTTTGACGAAAGGATTAGCTAGAGAAAAAGTCTATAATACATCATATAAGATGGGACTAATGCCTATAGGAAAATGAGTTGCTCATGATGGTAATCCGACCTAAATGACTGGAGATCCCAAGAAATAGGTTCAATGGGTAATAACAAGTTGTGAGTAATATGAGATGATCATGCAAGTAAAGCATGAATCCTGAAGTAATAAGAGGATGAGATAATAGAAACTCTTAATGAGATATATACTCTGTATGAGGGAGTACCTAGACTACATAAGTACTCTTGATGGACTCACCTATGTGATTGTGGAACTTAGGCCGGTTCCTATGGAATTTCGAGGCAGAATTCCTAGAGCCTTCATTAAACTGGGATACACGTGCAGGGCCATTAAAGCACGAGCTATTAAAATATACCTTAAGAAAAGGTTGTGTGCGAGTTTGATGTCTGAGATAGAGTTCAAGACATTTGTGTCACTCTTGTTGAATTGAAATCCTACTTGCTATGCAAAGGTTCAAGTCGTAGACACCTTTGTTTATGCACAATCTTAGAAACGTTTGACGTTACTTCTAAAATTAATTTTTTAAATTCAAGTGGGGGATTGTTGGAACATGTCCATGTTTTAATATGTTGAATTAAAAAATTTCTCAAGTCCCACATTGTTAGAATATTTTTTTTGGTTGAAAAAACCATTTAGTCCCACATTGCTCATGTGAGAAATATTAACTATCCTACTTCACTATATAAGGAGTGCATATGTTTCATTCCAAATCACACCAAAAACTATTCTATTAGTTTTTTCTTCCTCACTCTCATAACTCTGCGTCTCTCGAATTGTCGAAGCGCCATCTTCTTCCCCTTTCTTCCTACTCGTTGAATTTTCTGAGTATTTTCTTGAATTCTCTTTAGAGAATTATGTTAATTTCTCCTCATTTGAGTTGAGAAATTTTCAAGTTTAATTTTTTGGATTCTCTTTGGAGAATTATTTGAATTTCTCTTTGTTGGAGAAAT